GTTTCTCTATTGGTGCACCACCACCCAGAGTGCTCTGACTCTTTAAAGCTAAGCAGCGAGGCAGGTCAGCGATACGACGCCGTTGGTGCCGAGTTGCCACTGCTAATGAGGGCATTTCTACGACGTCAATTTCAGACACACGCAAAATACCAGTATACTTGATTGGCGACCACAATACCACGAAAAGCACGATGTCAATTACAGTTCTTCCGTTGCTTGTACATAGTTGATGGAGCATATAGACCAGCTTATTCACAGCCTTCATGTCATGGCAGCCGAGCCGGAGGAATTTGAGTTCATCTCAACCCTATGCCACAACCAAGTCGAAAGGGTGGGTGGGCACAGGTCCAACATCCTTTTTTGAAGTCACAGACAACATGGTAAGCACCCTCTAGAGGGTCATCACGTTCTGGTATTGGTGCGCCTTGTAGCTCATGCCGCTTCATCCTCGGCGCGTTTCGTTCGACGCATGCTCGGGCTGGAGAAAGTCTCATTTGAGCATTAAGTGGCATCTGCCTGTTGTTACAATAGCTCCGTCGTTTACCGACAGAGGAAGCCAGGTGTGCCACCTCCTCACCGTTGCTGTTGGCACTGGTTTGGTGAAGAAGACGACAAAAATCGTCAAAGGACTAGCTTGTCCTCACGGCGGCAAGCTACCATGCCGCCATTTAAAAGACGTTGCAGGCAACTTCAGCCAGGGGGATTGATCTTGGACTTTTTCTTCTTCTTCCCCTTAATCGAAACATATGCCGTCGGGTGGCTTGTACCGATGATGTCAAACAGGGGCTTCGAATGATTGATTGCAGGAACCCCCCTTACACCGTCTCTCTATACGGAGTGGCGTGGCCGAAAATCACGCGGGTTCTGGGCGGCTCACCCACTCGCCATTCGAGTACAACTTCTCAGTTCATGGCAGCCCTGAAAGAGTTCACTAGTTTGTACATACACGAGTTCAAGCTAACCAGGGTGAAGGCGGTGGGCGACTGGACAGCCACCCTTGAACGGCGCCGACGGACGTCTTTAATAACATCATCGTCGCCATGACTTGCACCCAAACGCGCAACTCTTCCACGACGGATACGGCCTCTGCTGACAGTGGTCGGAACTAGATCGCCTGCGTCATCATCTTTTGAAGGCCGACAAATATGGGGACGAATCTTTGTAAGCGGCCACGGCTTAATTCCGGTGACTTCTACAGAGGCTCATGTACTCCATGCCACTGGGTATTTTGGACCTCGTTCCCATCGTCGGGTACCGCTGCGACGGTGGCCGAGCACACCACTGTCTGATATCTGGACAGGGGTGAACCACATACATGTTTCTTCCGGGATGCCAGTTCGAGAAAGAACCTTGACTATCCCCTGTTACTCGGGCCTCAAATGTTACCTAGCTCCAACACGACTGGTCCATGTGGTCGGCGACGTGCTTAGACAGCCAGTAGGAAACGGAGGCATTGTACATACGAAGCTCGGAGTAGCAAAAAGTATTTGATTCTCTTGACACTGCCCTACTTCGTCGCCAGGCAGGAGATGCCGACGACGCATCGGAGTTTTGTTTCTTGTGGCTCAGCTGAAGGTTTAGATCCCATTTTTGCCGGCCGGCGAGAGGAGGAGCCTCGTACTTCAGCCGACGAGTCATTATGCTTTGTCGTGTGCCTCTACTAATTTAATTGCCCAGGACCCTGCCCTCCGCGAACAAACTTCTTTTCTGACGCAGATATACTGTATTTACCCAAAGGTCTAATAAGTTCTAGACTGACAAGCAATCCTTGACCCTGAACATGGATCCAAACGGGCCGCAAGAGGATGATGTGTGTGTGGTCTCCACCATCAACCATGTAAATCCACTTCTATCCGCGTCCCCAATGAGGTGGCTCGCTACCAGTTCTTTCCAGCATTCGAAGCATACATGCATGCATCCGTACATTGTGATCTCCAACACCATGTCATTGGGGTTGTACCTTCCGCTTTTGCCTCAAGATATCAGTACAAGTACCTACAGTCCACACGTGGCGGTATGGATGGCCACAGCCATATTTTAC